AGGAGATCGAGGCCGAGACCGAGCGCGTCACCGGCACCAACAAAGGGATTTCCCCCGTCCCCATCAACCTGCGCGTGTACTCCCCCCACGGTGAGGGGAAATCGGGAAAAGAACGGGAAAAAAACGGGAAAATAACGGGAAAAAAACGGGAAAAATATGGGAAAATATTGGGAAAAGTCCGGGAAAAATATGGGAAAAATACGGGAAAAATATGGGAAAAATATGGGAAAAATATGGGAAAACTATGGGAAAAATACAGGAAAAATATGGGAAAAATATGGGAAAAACATGGGAAAAATATGGGAAAAATACGGGAAAACTATGGGAAAAATACAGGAAAAATATGGGAAAAATATGGGAAAAATATGGGAAAACTATGGGAAAAATACGGGAAAAGTCCTGGAAAAATATGGGAAAATACCGGGAAAAATATGGGAAAATACCAGGAAAATATGGGAAAAATACGGGAAAATATTGGGAAAAGTCCTGGAAGAATATGGGAAAATACTGGGAAAATACTGGGAAAAATATGGGAAAAATCCCAGAAAAATATGGGAAAATCCCGGAAAAATCTGGGAAAAATACGGGTGTACTCCCCCCAAGGTAAGGGGAAAAAACCGGGAAAATAACGGGAAAAATATGGGAAAAATACGGGAAAATACCGGGAAAAGTCCTGGAAAAATATGGGAAAAATACAGGAAAAATCCCAGAAAAATACAGGAAAATACCAGGAAAATACTGGGAAAAATCCTGGAAAAATACGGGAAAATACTGGGAAAAATACTGGGAAAAATACGGGAAAAATACGGGAAAAATATGGGAAAAGTCCTGGAAAAATATGGGAAAATACTGGGAAAAATATGGGAAAAAACGGGTGTACTCCCCCCACGGTGAGGGGAAAATAATGGAAAAAATATGGGAAAATACCGGGAAAATACCGGGAACAGTCCTGGAAAAATATGAGAAAATACTGGGGAAATACTGGGAAAAGTACGGGAAAATAACGGGAAAAATATGGGAAAAATATGGGAAAAATACGGGAAAAGTCCTGGAAAAATATGGGAAAATACCGGGAAAAATATGGGAAAAATACGGGAAAATATTGGGAAAAGTCCTGGAAGAATATGGGAAAATACTGGGAAAATACTGGGAAAAATATGGGAAAAATCCCAGAAAAATATGGGAAAATCCCGGAAAAATCTGGGAAAAATACGGGTGTACTCCCCCCAAGGTAAGGGGAAAAAACCGGGAAAATAACGGGAAAAATATGGGAAAAATACGGGAAAATACCGGGAAAAGTCCTGGAAAAATATGGGAAAAATACAGGAAAAATCCCAGAAAAATACAGGAAAATACCAGGAAAATACTGGGAAAAATCCTGGAAAAATACGGGAAAATACTGGGGAAATACTGGGAAAAATACAGGAAAAATCCTGGAAAAATATGGGAAAAATACGGGAAAATACCGGGAAAAGTCCTGGAAAAATATGGGAAAATACTGGGAAAAATATGGGAAAAATACGGGAAAATATTGGCAAAAATACGGGAAAATATTGGGAAAAATACGGGAAAATATTGGGAAAAATCCCGGAAAAATATGGGAAAAATACGGGTGTACTCCCCCCACGGTAAGGGGAAAAATACTGGGAAAAATCCCGGAAAAATACGGGAAAGATATGGGAAAAATATGGGAAAAATATGGGAAAAATATGGGAAGAATATGGGAAAATACCAGGAAAATAAAAAATATGGGAAAAATATGGGAAAAATATGGGAAGAATATGGGAAAATACCAGGAAAATATGGGAAAAATACTGGGAAAAATACGGGAAAAATATGGGGAAAATACTGGGAAAATAACTGGGAAAAAACGGGAAAAAAGTGGGAAAAATCTGGGAAAAAATGGGAAAAATGTGGGAAAAATCCAGAAAAAATCCAGAAAAATACGGGAAAAAATGGGAAAAATCCAGGAAAAGCCAGGTAAAAATGGGAAAAAATGGGAAAAATCCAGGAAAAATGGGAAAAATCCGGGAAAAAACGGGAAAAAAGTGAGAAAAATCCGGGAAAAAATGGGAAAAACTGGGAAAAACCGGGAAAAAAATGGGAAAAATCCAGAAAAATACGGGAAAAAATGGGAAAAACCGGGGAAAAAAAAGGGAAAAATCCAGAAAAAAATCCAGAAAAATCTGGGAAAAACGGGAAAAAAGTGGGAAAAATCCAGAAAAATGTGGGAAAAAACCAGAAAGAAGTGGGGAAAATCCAGAAAGAAGTGGGAAAAATCCAGAAAGAAGTGGGAAAAATCCAGAAAGAAGTGGGAAAAATCCAGGAAAAGTGGGAAAAATCCAGAAAAAAGTGGGAAAAATCCAGAAAGAAGTGGGAAAATCCAGAAAAAGTGGGAAAAATCCAGAAAAGTGTGGGAAAATCCAGGAAAAGTGGGGAAAATCCAGAAAAATGTGGGAAAAATCCAGAAAAAAATCCAGAAAAATCCTGGAAAAAATGGGAAAAATGTGGGAAAAAATCCAGGAAAATGTGGGAAAAATCCAGAAAAGTGTGGGAAAATCCAGGAAAAGTGTGGGAAAATCCAGGAAAAGTGGGAAAAATCCAGGAAAAAAGTGGGAAAAATCCAGGAAAAAGTGGGAAAAATCCAGGAAAAAAGTGGGAAAAATCCAGGAAAAAAATGGGGAAAATCCAGGAAAACTGGGAAAAATCCAGAAAAAAGTGGGAAAAATCCAGGAAAAGTGGGAAAAATCCAGGAAAAAGTGGGAAAAATCCAGAAAGAAGTGGGAAAAATCCAGAAAGAAGTGGGAAAAATCCAGGAAAACTGGGAAAAATCCAGGAAAAGTGGGAAAAATCCAGGAAAATGTGGGGAAAATCCAGAAAAAAATCCAGAAAAATCCTGGAAAAAATGGGAAAAATGTGGGAAAAATCCAGGAAAATGTGGGAAAAATCCAGAAAGAAGTGGGAAAAATCCAGAAAGAAGTGGGAAAAATCCAGTAAAAAGTGGGAAAAATCCAGAAAGAAGTGGGAAAAATCCAGGAAAAGTGGGAAAATCCAGAAAAGTGTGGGAAAAATCCAGAAAAGTGTGGGAAAAATCCAGGAAAAGTGGGAAAAATCCAGGAAAAAAGTGGGAAAAATCCAGGAAAAAAGTGGGGAAAATCCAGGAAAAGTGGGAAAAATCCCGAAAAAAGTGGGAAAATCCAGAAAAAAGTGGGGAAAATCCAGAAAAAAGTGGGGAAAATCCAGGAAAACAGGGAAAAATCCAGAAAAAAATCCAGAAAAATCTGGGAAAAACGGGAAAAAAGTGGGAAAAATCCAGAAAAATGTGGGAAAAATCCAGAAAAACTGGGAAAAATCCAGAAAAAATTGGGAAAAATCCAGGAAAAGTGGGAAAAATCCAGAAAAGTGTGGGGAAAATCCAGGAAAACTGGGAAAGATCCAGGAAAAAGTGGGGAAAATCCAGAAAAGTGTGGGAAAAATCCAGAAAAAAATCCAGAAAAATCTGGGAAAAATGGGAAAAAAGTGGGGAAAATCCAGAAAAAAGTGGGAAAAATCCAGAAAAATCCTGGAAAAAACGGGAAAAATCCTGGAAAAAACGGGAAAAATGTGGGAAAAATCCAGGAAAATGTGGGAAAAATCCAGAAAAATGTGGGAAAAATCCAGAAAAAAATCCAGAAAAATCCTGGAAAAAATGGGAAAAATGTGGGAAAAATCCAGGAAAACGTGGGAAAAATCCAGAAAAAAAGTGGGAAAAATCCAGAAAAAAGTGGGAAAAATCCAGAAAAGTGTGGGAAAATCCAGGAAAAGTGGGGAAAATCCAGGAAAAGTGGGAAAAATCCAGAAAAGTGTGGGGAAAAATCCAGAAAAGAATCCAGAAAAATCCAGAAAAAAATCCAGAAAAATCCTGGGAAAACAGGAAAAATGTGGGAAAAATCCAGGAAAAGTGGGAAAAATCCAGGAAAAAGTGGGAAAAATCCAAAAAAAAGTGGGGAAAATCCAGAAAAGTGTGGGAAAATCCAGGAAAAGTGGGAAAAATCCAGAAAAAAGTGGGAAAAATCCAGAAAAGAGTGGGAAAAATCCAGAAAAGTGTGGGAAAAATCCAGGAAAAAGTCCAGAAAAATCCTGGGAAAAATGGGAAAAATGTGGGAAAAAATCCAGGAAAAAGTGGGAAAAATCCAGAAAAAAAGTGGGAAAAATCCAGAAAAAAGTGGGAAAAATCCAGGAAAACTGGGAAAAATCCAGGAAAAAAGTGGGAAAAATCCAGAAAAACGTGGGAAAAATCCAGAAAGAAGTGGGAAAAATCCAGAAAAAAGTGGGAAAAATCCAGAAAAAAGTGGGAAAAATCCAGGAAAAGTGGGAAAAATCCAGAAAAAAGTGGGGAAAAATCCAGAAAAAAATCCAGAAAAATCTGGGAAAAACGGGGAAAAAGTGGGAAAAATCCAGAAAAAAGTGGGAAAAATCCAGGAAAAATCCAGAAAAATCCTGGAAAAAACGGGAAAAATCCTGGAAAAAACGGGAAAAATGTGGGAAAAATCCAGGAAAATGTGGGAAAAATCCAGAAAAAAGTGGGGAAAATCCAGAAAAAAGTGGGAAAAATCCAGAAAAAAGTGGGAAAAATCCAGGAAAAAGTGGGGAAAATCCAGAAAAGTGTGGGAAAAATCCAGGAAAAAATCCAGAAAAATCCTGGAAAAAATGGGAAAAATGTGGGAAAAATCCAGAAAAAAGTGGGGAAAATCCAGAAAAAAGTGGGAAAAATCCAGAAAAGTGTGGGAAAAATCCAGAAAAAAGTGTGAAAAATCCAGAAAAAGCGGGAAAAATCCAGGAAAAGTGGGAAAAATCCAGGAAAATTGGGAAAAATCCGGTGAAATGCGGGAGAAGCGGGATGAATCCGTGAATTTCCCCGGGCACGCTAACCCCATGGCTCTCCCTGGCTGCGGCAGTGCTGAACCTGACGCTGATCGATCTGCCCGGGATCACCAAGGTGCCCGTGGGGGATCAGCCCCCCGATATCGAGGCCCAGATCCGGGACATGATCCTGCAGTTCATCGCCCGCGACAGCAGCCTCATCCTCGCCGTGACGCCCGCAAACACCGACCTGGCCAACTCCGACGCACTCAAAATGGCCAAGGAGGTGGATCCGCAGGGTAATTCCTTAATTAGCGGGTTTGGGTTAATTAGGGTTAATTAGGTCATTAATTGGGGGTTGGTAATTAACTGGGGGTTTGATAATTAATTGGGGGTTTGTTAAGGAGGTGGATCCGCAGGGTAATCCCAATGGATTTGGGGTCCTTTATCCTCTTGTTCCTCGTTTGGGGTTAATTAGGAGTGATTTGTTAATTAATTGGTGATTTGTTAATTAATTGGTGATTTGTTAATTGGGGGTTTGTTAAGGAGGTGGATCCACAGGGTAATTCATTAATGGGGGATTGGTTAATTAATTGGGGGGTGGTCGTTAATTGGGGGTTTGATAATTAATTGGGGATTTGTTAAGGAGGTGGATCCACAGTTAAGGAGGTGGATCCGCAGGGTAATTCCTTAATTAGCAGGCTTCCGTTAATTAGGGAGGGTGGTCATTAACTGGGGGTTTGTTAAGGAGGTGGATCCGCAGGGTAATTCATTCATGGGGGTTGGTTAATTAATTGGGGGGTGGTAATTAATTGGGGGTTTGTTAAGGAGGTGGATCCGCAGGGTAATTCCTTACTTAGCGGCCTTCCGTTAATTAGGGTTAATTAGGTCATTAATTGAGGGTTGGTAATTAATTGGGGGTTTGTTAAGGAGGTGGATCCACAGGGTAATTCATTAATGGGGGATTGGTTAATTAATTGGGGGTTTGATAATTAATTGGGGGTTTGTTAAGGAGGTGAATCCGCAGGATAATTCATTAATGGGGGATTGGTTAATTAATTGGGGGGTGGTCGTTAATTGGGGGTTTGATAATTAATTGGGGATTTGTTAAGGAGGTGGATCCACAGTTAAGGAGGTGGATCCGCAGGGTAATTCGTTAATTAGCGGGTTTCGGTTAATTAGGGTTAATTAGGTCATTAATTGGGGGTTTGTTAAGGAGGTGAATCCGCATGGTAATTCATTAATGGGGGATTGGTTAATTAATTGGGGGGTGGTCATCAATTGGGGGTTTGATAATTAATTGGGGATTTGTTAAGGAGATGGATCCACAGTTAAGGAGGTGGATCCGCAGGGTAACGCCTTCGTTAGCGGCCTCTGGTTAATTACGGGGGGGTGGTCATTAATTGGGGGGTGGTCATTAATTGGGGGTTTGTTAAGGAGGTGGATCCGCAGGGTAATTCCTTAATGGGGGATTGGTTAATTAATTGGGGGTTGGTTAATTAGGGGGCATTTGTTAAGGAGGTGGATCCGCAGGGTAATCCCCATGGGTTTGGGATTCTTCATCCTCTTCTTCCTTGTTTGTTGTGGTTTGGGGTTAATTAGCAGTGATTTGTTAATTAATTGGTGATTTGTTAATTGGGGATTTGTTAAGGAGGTGGATCCACAGGGTAATTCATTAATGGGGGATCGGGTAATTAATTGGGGGTGTTTAATTACTTGGGGTTTGTTAAGGAGGTGGATTTGTGTCAGGGTAATCCCAATGGATTTGGGGTTCTTCATCCTCTTCTTCCTCGTTTGGGGTTAATTAGGGGTGATTTGTTAATTATTGGTGATTTGTTAATTAGGGGGGATTTGTTATTTAGGGGGGATTTGTTAATTAGGGAGGTTTGTTAAGGAGGTGGATCCACAGGGTAATCCCAATGGATTTGGGGTTCTTCATCCTCTTCTTCCTCGTTTGTTGTGGTTTCGGGTTAATTAGCAGTGATTTGTTAATTAATTGGTGATTTGTT